AGGACTTCCTTTCTCTAGGACTGATGGAATGAGAGGTATAAAGTTATAGGTACATTAAAGTTTTGTAAGTTTACTGAAGTAGTGGAGGGAGTTCACTCTAGGAGACTACAGTCTTTGGTAGATGATGAGGTCATAGAGTGAAGAACAGGCCTGAAGTAGTCTCTGTGGGCCATGTGCAAGAGAAGAGATCACAAATGAGTAAGAAAAACCAGCATCTCTCTTTCTACCCAGGCCTGAACTGTGGAGGGAGGGGAATGCACGTTTTCAGAATCTGCCCTCTCCTGACAACTCAGCACTTAGGGGTTCCTGGCCCTGGGTAGCCTAGGCTCCATTAAGCCGGAGGCTGCTAGGGCCTAAAGAGCTCCATCTGCCAGGAGGTCACAAGGCCAGGTATGTGGCTCCAAACCCCTCAGCCCCACCTGGCTGATTAGGGGACAAGTCACCGAGAAGCTCAGAATAACATGGACAAGTAAGGCTTATACCATATCCAGCTCTTGGGCTTGGAGTTTCAGTCTGTGACTGGGACCTATTTAGTGGGCAGAGGGGCTTTAGCCTGTGTGAAGGGTGTCCTTGTCTCTTTTCTGCCTTCTTTTCCCTCCGGCTACTGTCCTTTCAGGAAGACATTAGCGTAGCCTGTGCCCTTTGTCAGAGCATCTCTCTGTCCATTTCAGCTCATCTCAGGGGGGCTGGGCCACGCTACCGGCTTGCTTCCAGAGTCAAAGCCTGCTGCTCTAGAGAAATTTCCAGTATTCGCCTAAAGAAGACAACCACTGTGAAAATCTCTCTCTTGTGGTTTCACACACAGTGGCCCCTACCTTAGCCACTCTGTATCAGGACCTCTGTTGATCTTTAAACATGTATTTGTTTACATTGATAGTAATGACAAGCATTATTGAGTGTTTAGAATGTGCTAATGCTATGTTAAGCACCTTGCATGCATTATCTTATTTAATACATGTAATAACTCCATAACCCTGTGAGGTAAGTACTTCTTTTCTTTTTTTCCTTTGTGTAGATACTTTTAATATTCTCGTTTTCCATTTCCTGAGGCTCAGAGAGGTTAAATAACTTACCCAAGGTCACGCATCTCAGATTTGAGCCCATGTCATTTGACTCCAGAGCCTGTGGTCTTATCTGCTATACTATGCTGCCACCCTATATTCCTGAAAATGTGACTTTCCTGGGGTCACTCAGCCCAGCTGAGAGCCACCAGAAGCATTAGTGAAAATGGTTATGGTTCCCTCCTCTCCACCCCATAACGTATTTTGCTTAGAGCTGGGGGTTTCTCAGAGCCTCTCAGACTCTTGGAGGCTGTGAGAAGTCACAGGGAGCCCTGGGGCTGCAGGGAGAAAAGGCTTCAGACTGAGTCACATCAGAGCAGTTAGTTGTTAGAAATTGTGGGACGGAAGGCAGAGCAGACACGGGGCTGCGGGGTATATGTGCAGCAAAACTTTGGTTAGAAGGCCGTGAGCTGGGAAGCTATGGATTTATTTTGTGTGTATTCTTAGAACAGAGACCTCTGGGTCCAGAAGAGACAGCCGCTGAAACGAGATGGTGCACAGGCTGTCCCTGGGGCTGAAGGCGGTGCTTTACACTCAGGCCCTGACTCCTCTGCAGGGAGAGTGAACATTTATGGCAAAAATCCTGGTAAGTAAGAGTCCTTGGAGGCTGGGGAGAGAGCTACTTTCAGCAGACTTGGGGACCAGAGGTTGGTTGAAGTGACTCCAGAGCCAGGGATCCCAGAAGATGAAGCCTCTTTCAGAAAACCTCTTCTGGGTCAGAGTGAGAGTGAAGTGAGAGGGGGAGGTGGGGTGTGAGAGTGAGGGGAGTGAGAGGGTGTGGGGAGGGAGGTCAAGATACTGGCTGGTGGGTGCAGAAAGCACCCTTTCCCCCAATGCACCAAAAGCACCAGTTGTCATCAAGTCGACTTCGACTCACAGCAACCCCACGTGTGTCAGAGTAGAACGGTGCTCCATAGAGTTTCTAATGGCTGATTTTTTAGAAGTAGATCACCAGGCCTTTCTTCCAAGGGGCCTCTGAGTGGACTCAAACCTCCAATCTTTTGGATAGCAGGCAACACATTTGCACCACTCAGGGACTCTGCCCTCCCCCCTCCCCCCCTCCACCCAGTGCCCATATCTGGCTAAAAGCCCACCCCAGGCTAGTTCAAATCCTATCTTGTACCTTCTGGAATGCCCACGCTGATTCTTTCTCCCTGCAAAATTAGTGAGCCTTCCGTGGGGCTCTCAATTGTTTACCTCTCTTCCTTGCTTCACTTTGCATAATAGTATAATTATTTTTACCTACTAAATTATACATTTTTAAAAGAAGAACCATGTTGTAGTTATTTTTGTATCCCTCTTTGCATAGTGCCTGGAAGGACCCTATATATACACAGCAATATCTCGGTAAGTGAATGAATGAATGGGTGAGAACCAGGTGAGAAGATAAGTGTGTGTGCACATAAATACATGTATTGAAGATGGTGACTGCTAACGGAAAGAAAGAAAAAGATGAGAGAATAGGCGGGGTGGGGAGAAAGCCCAGCACAAGAGTAAATATAAATAACTATTACCCATAACCCATGGCCGTCGAGTTGATTCCAACTCATGATGACCCTATAGGACATGGTAGAACTGACCCATAGGGTTTCCAAGGCTGTAAATCCTTATGGAAGCAGACTGCCACGTTTTTCTCCCATGGAGTGGCTAGTGGGTTCGAACCACCAACTTTCTGGTTAGCAGCTGAGCACTTAACTACTTGGCCACCAGGGCTCCTTATAAACAACTATGACTGCTAATAATCGCTGCCTGTTGACCATGTGTCAGCTGGTATGTCAGATAAGTGTTGTGTGTGTGACCTAATAGTCACAGCAGTCTTACAGGGCAGGTACCACTATCATCCTTTTATGACCCACGGTGAAGCCAAGCCTCAGAGAAGGAGCTTACTTGCCCAAAGTCACATGGCTGGTAAGCAGCAATGCCAGGACCTAACACAGGTCTGTTGGTCTCGGGAGCCCAAACTCTTAACTGTTAAACCATACTGCTAGCCAGCCTCCCCTGTTGTGTTTTCCCATAGCCCCTGGACTTCTCTTTTGAGGTATTTTGTAGACTTTTCATTTTTTTAATGGATTATTTGAAATGATTTGTTTAATAACTGTCTTCACTTACAGGATGCGAGCTCCAAGAAGGCAGTGACGCCCCTTTGGTTATATGGCCAGCTCTTAGAACAGTGTCTGACACATAGTAGGCACTCAATAAATATATGCTTACTAACTGACGGACTAACAACTGACTAGTGTTGTTAGCTTGTCGACGAGTCGATCCCGACTCATGGTGACCCCATGTGTGCAGAGCAGAACTGCTCCATAGGATTTTCAAGGCTGTGAGCTTTTGGAAGCAGATGGCCAGGCCTTTCTTTCAAGGCACTTCTGGGTAGGTTTGAACCACCACCGTTTATGTTAGTAGTTGAGAGCTTAACTGTTTGTGCCACCCAGGGACTCCTAACGAACTAACTACTGCTTCTTTAAAATGACAACCCCCAGCATTCTTGAAGCCCTTCTTCTACCATTCCTCTCAGTTCTACCCGGCTCACTTTTACAGCTCAGTCCCACCGGTCAGCACCATTCCCATCCTCAGCCTTGACCTAAAGCTGGACTAGTAGGCGTTAAATGCCAGGGCCAATTTTTAGTCCCAGATGATCCCTGAACTCAGCAAATGCTGATCAAGTGACTCTCTCTCTCTGGCTTAGGATGGAAGGATGCCAGGAAAGATCGAAGCATCTACCCTGATGGGTTACACCAGGGCTTGTAGAAGGGATTTTGTGGCAGGAGGGAGGGGGGCAGGAGATTGAATGTCTCTGTGACTGTGCAGGCCAGCATGATGGATGAGCAGTGGAAAGCCCTTCTATGAAGCACGCCAGACCTGTTGCAACAGTATCTCTCCCAACTGCCCAGAATTATATTTCCCTGAAGACACACTGAATCCTGCTCTGGATTTCGATATGAGTTCCTCGTCCATGCTCCCAAAGGAGCTCTGTGTACAGATGCCCCAGCAGAGGAAGGAGCCGATGAGAACCAAGGGAGGTTTGAACCCTCTTCCCAAGAGCCTTGGAACTTCATGGAAATTGACAGCCCTTTAAGAGTTTCCTGACTTTTGCAGATCCTCTGCCCAAACAGCCTGCTGGTTTTCAGTCTTGGTGCACAGGGAGGATTTATTCTCTCTCTCTGTTTCAAGAAGTGGCCAGAGTAAGCTGAGGTCTCTGACACTCAGCACTCAGGTTCTCCTTGGCAGAAGAGACTGGGGTATCAGTCTCTCTTCTGGAATTGAGGTATCTTTCCTGAGGCTATAAACAACTGGGAGTCCCCGAGCGAGCATATTACCAAATACAGTAGAAAGAAGTCAGTGAACCTCGCACTGACCACAGCAACATCCACCCGGTGATGGAGAAGTGGAATAAATGCTTGAACACGGCATGCCTGAGGCTGGCCTGTTCCTTCCTGAACCCGCATGGCCTCGTCTCTGCTTTCCTGGCTCTCTGCGCCTCTGATCTACTCCTGCCAGCCTCTGCATTTTTGTATCTTTTTCTCATTGCGTGCCCCCCTTGTCTTTAAAAGGCTAAACTCTCTGTACTAAATTTGGTCACGCAGCGCTCCAAGATTCCCTGGAATGTCCTCAAGTTTCAAACAACTCTGACAGCGAGGTAGGCCCGCCCCCCACATGGGGATTGGCTTCTCCTCTTGGGGCCAGGAAGCCGTCGGGTCTTATTGGTCAGTGGGTGGACCAGCCCGGCTGCACTGCCCTGGGCTGCAGGCTGCTGTCTCCAGTTAACACTTCAGCACCTGTGGCACAACGGGGCCGGGTCTCTGCACTCCTCCACCCAGCTCGGGTTTGCTCCCAAGCCCACTCTGCTCCGTCCAGACCCACTCACCCCTCTTAAGACCCACCTGCCCACCAGGACTCCCATAGCCCCCCGCAAAAGCTGCAGCCCACTTTGCCAAGATGTCTAAGGTAGCCAAGTATCGCCGGCAGGTGAGCGAAGACCCCGATATCGACAGCCTGCTGTCCACCCTGTCTCCCGAGGAGATGGAAGAGCTGGAGAAGGAGCTGGACGTGGTGGACCCAGATGGGAGCATTCCCGTGGGGCTGTGGCAGAGAAACCAGACGGAGAAGCAGTCCACGGGCGTGTACAACCGCGAAGCCATGCTCAACTTCTGTGAAAAGGAGACCAAGAAGCTGATTCAGAGGGAGATGTCCATGGATGTGAGTGAGGGCCGTCCTAGAGTGGGGGGCGAGGGGGTGGTGGGGCACAGACTCAGTGGCTAGGATGCTTCTTGGCTGAGACAAAATTTCTTGTTGGCAAAGGATTGAATTCTTCAGAACCGATTATTGTCCGCTGCACTAGCGGTGTGAATCTCTTACCCCTAGTTTCTGTCTTATAAGCAGAAGTTGTATATTTTGGAGGAACTCAACATTCCACAGTATCAAATAGGGCCACTAGAAGAATGGGGACCACAGGGTGTCCTTGAAGTATTCTTGTCACATTGATTCCATCCTGGTCCCTCAACACTTCTTTTTTTCCTTCACATCCATCCCATCCTTTTGTGAGAAGGGGCGGAGGATAGAATGATGCTGTCTCTGCCAGCCACCTAAGAAGAGAAAGCTAAACCCTCCTTCGGGAGAAAGATTCCATTTTAAGCACTCTGGCCCTGTGGGCGTCTCATGGCACAGACCATTTGAGGAGGTAGATGGGCTTCCCAAAGCAATAAGAGACATGGGACCTGGGGTCTGTATCTTAGCCTGATGGCTTCAGTCTTATTCCTGGGGAAGATGGAAATCTTCTGCACTCTCTAGAGTAGCCTCTTGAGGGAGCATCCCTCTTTGTGGTCCTAAGAGCTTCCATAAGCTAGCAACACCACTTGGCTAGGAAATGAAGACATTTCCCAGAAGGAGGA